CCCCTCCCCCCCCCCCCCCCCCCACTCGATCCCCATCGAGATCGAGCGTCTTTTACTTTCTTCCCGTCGGTAAGATTCCGCTTAAAGTGTCTTGTCCGGTTTCGGAGGCAGACTAATCGACGAGATTTAATGGGACTGGAAAGGGTTGGAGGCTGCCTCCCAAAACCATGAGGGCGGTACGGGGAGGAGAAAACGAGCGACCGAGAACTCTCGTCGATGGAGAAATTAACGAGGACGGACGTCATCAGGGGCATGCTCTCTCGTCAGGGGCATGCTCTCATCAGGGCCATGCTCTCCTGAAGGTATGCACACATCCTCTCGTCCAGGCATGCATACGACGTTAAGGATACGGAGGAAATCGAGCGTGATGGGTTTCGATTCCTCGACGGTAAGGGAAGCACGAGGTGGAATAGGAGGAGGAGTTGCGTGAGTCTCACGCGAGACTCGTCTTGCAGATTCTCCTCGTTTTCCTCGTGGAGCGACGAGCGCCCGGAACGCGTCGGGTCGACGTTCCCCTTCCCTCGACGGATCGAAGAAAGGCGAAACGACGTCGCGACCGAAGCGTAAAAGAGACGACGCGAGCGGCACGAGACCTCGGTTCGAGACCCTCCGAGCAGATGTACGATTTCGGAACGGCCTCGTCGGAGGACGTGGAATCGGGATGCGAATTGCGGCACGAATGCCACTCCTCGTCCCGTTCTCGACGACGCACCTCCCACCTCCCACCTCGCTTCTCGACGTCGACGTATTTTAAAGAGGATCGTCCGGATTTGAAATCGTAAGCAGGCCTCGGCACTTCCACTTTCTCGGTGTTCCTTACCGGAAGCTTCGCGTGCGGTCGCACACGAGGCGCGAGTGCATCCTCGATCGGCGTCGAATCCTCGCCTTCTTTTCCGTCGGACTGCTCGTTCCGCATAATCAGCGTCTTTTTTAGCACTCCGAAAACCATGCGAAGGCGAGAGACGGCCACGAGACGACCCCCTCGGGCCTGGCTCCGTCCGACGACGCCTCGTTTGTCGACGGGACCCCATCGATTATCGCTCCGAGTCGGCATACACGTCGGCTCGAGGACGTTCGAATCCTTTCGGCAAGGGCGTGGCCCTCTCTCGCGATCCGATCCGATTCGACGGCCGATAGGGATTCGGCCGCAAGGGATTCGGTCCGGGTCGCAGAGGGACTCCGTCGGCCGAGACGCGAATCGCTTGCACCCCGGGGAGGATCTGTCTCGCCTCGGGGTGACGCACGCGTTGCTCTGTAACCCGAGAAACGAGGGTCTAATAAACCTTTAAAAAGAAATTGGCTCGTGCCGGTCGTGATCCTTCGCAACTCGTGAGCCAGCCCTCGGGCTTCCGAAGGACACTCCATCGTTTCGCGAGTCCCGACCCCGGGAACGATCGATCCGGTCACGGTGTCGACGCCGAGCAGACACCCTCTACCGCCCTCGACTCTCGGTGACTCGCGCGTCGAAATCCCCGTCGTTTCCGCTGCAGGTCGCCGATTCGGATGCGAAGACGAAACGCGGCGATTCCGACCGCTTTCCAAATACTCGCAGGGTCCTCGCATGGCGAAGTGCCGTCGCGGCATCCATATCGCCAAAATAAAGCGATACGGTTCGCGTTCTGAAGCATCCGAGACGGCTTCCGATTTCCACATCGACGGCGACACGGCACCGACCCGAGGGTTTCGATCTGCGAGGGTCGGCCTCCCCCACGTCGACACCAACGGGATCGGACGACACGCCTCTCGCGACCCCCGTCGCCTCCCGAGCTCCTCGCGAGCCCGGGGAATCCCTCGCACGGCGATCGCGTGGATTTCGGTCGTCTCTCGTGATCGTCGACATTCGGAGTCTGAGGCTTCTTCGAGTCTTAATTATGGTATTTTGCCGACCTTTGATCCTATCCTTTTCTTGCCCGCTTTCGAGCTTCTTTTGTTCTTTTCTACTTCGTTCGGCGGCCATTCTCCTCCTTTTATTCTCGTGCAGGGCTGAAAAA